ACCATGGCCAAACACAAAATGGTTCACATAACATTTAATTGACTGTTCAAGACAATCTTCAAAGGTATGTTTCTAACTGGAGAACTTCGTTGAAACCAAATGGGCTCGAGTCTTGATGGTTGAAAAATTCTAGAATACAATAGTTGTACATTCAATGTAGTTTGTCAGGCCAATCGAAACTTCACATGGAGGTAAAAGTTGGTGAATTCCTTTCGCTTTAATCAAACTCGTATATGCTATTCTATTATTTTTTTTTTTCGATTGTATAATACAAGTAATTTTTTTTAATTACTTAACTCACCTTTACTCCAAATTATATAATTTAAATTTACAGCATCTCTATTTTTATTAGAAAAGAAATTATCATTGAACATTTACCTTGTTGGTGAATTATACTTATTAAAACTTGATATATGCCAATGACCTAACAATTTAGTGATTATCTCATTTGATTGAAAGTAAGAAATTATGAGTTTGAGTCACATGGATAGGATGAGATAAAAAAAAACTTGACATATAAACAAAAGCAAACATGATTTTTTTTTTTTTTTTTTGAACTCAGCAGAACTTGTTTAATTAAAACACAGCCAAACAGCATCTACATGAAGGATTTTCATCTTAGTGATAAGAACACATGATAGACCAAAGAAAATCCAACTAAAGATAACAATTATAGTAGATTAAGTTCACCAAAAAACAAATATAAAGAAAGACACTAAAAATCACACTAAAAATCACACGAACAATCTCTAAGAAACCTAATATTTACAAATTTCTTTGTTTAACCGTTCTAGAAGTTGGACATCCTTCAATCTACTCTTGAAGATGAGCTCGGTCTCCAAGATGCCAGGGCAAGAAGATCAACGGTCACCCCTAATTTCTGTACGGTTGGTTGGTTCGCCACCAGATCTGAAAAAAGCAAGCAAAGAAAACAAGAAAACAGTAAAAAAAGAAATGGAGAAGACCACCGAAATGGCCCCAAAAGAAACTGACAGACCACTCAAGGTGGTCATTGGACACCAAAGTACGACAAGTTGGCTCCACCATACATGAGAGGCCGAAGGGCTTCCGAGCACCCAAAAGCTCAGGAAGCCAAAGGCTAAAAAAAAAAAAAAAAACCAAGCTTGAGGAAGATGTAGTCAGAAGGAGGAGACTTCTAGAGAGAGAGAGAGAGAGAGAAAGTATCTTCAAACGAGTAAACAAAAATGGTTCAAAAATGCAAGCATGTTATTTACAATGTAAATAACACCCAATCTATATAATGCCATGTGTGCAACAATCCAAGAAAATGCCATATCACCAAATAGCAAACTTCAACTCTGATGGTGAATCAATGTGGTGCACACCATATATCATTTTAATTTAGTGGTCAAAAATAGGTGGCGGTCGAAAACACATATTGTGGTATTAATCTCTTAATGTCCATTGAATTTAAAGATTTAGTTGCAAAATTCAAGGAGGAGTTGATGAATAATTAGCATAGTTACCTATTTGACCATCCGGACCGCAAAGGTCATTTCTTGCAAAATACAAACAAAAATCTAGTCTAAGTTGAAACCAGAACGCAATTGGCGAAGGACGCTTGTTTCTTGCAAGTAATAAAACGCAAAAGGCAACAGCGTTGAAAAATATTTCCTCAAACTGATAAAATACAGTATTGTTATCGGCGGCGGAGATGGCCGCCGCTTGTCTTTTCACGCCCAACCCAATTCATATCCCTTCTTCCAGGAATGGATTCGTAAACTTGGCCTCCTCTCC